GCGGCCCCGGGAGCCCCCAGCCCCACCTGGGAGCCCCCAGAGCGCGGGCAGGCTCAGCGCCAGCAGCGGCAGCAGCCGGGGCACGCTCCGCGCTCCGGCCATGGCGCCCCGGGCTCCGCGACGCGGCCGAGGGCCGGAGCTGCTCCCGGGAAAGCGGCGCCCGACTGGGGGCACCGGGAGCGGGGCAGCGGCACCCCAAAAAGCGCCCGGCCAATGGGAGCGCGGCGCGGGCGGCGCGTCACCGGTTGCCGGGTAGAGGCTGGGGAAAAGCGCGCTCCTCAGAAAATTCCAGCCAATCGGAGCGCGGCGCGCCGATGAGTCATCGGTTGCTGGGCAGAGCGCCTGAAAATCGGGCTCCGAACGGAACCGGCCAATCGGAGCGCGGGAAAAACAGCCCGGCCAATCGTGGAGGAGCCGAAAAAAGTTGCAGCCAATCAAAGCGAAGCCGAAAACCACGGCCGACCAATCAGGGAGCGCGTCCCTAATGACCCCGCGGCGCTCCGCGCTGGTTCCCGCAGTGCAGCGCGGCTGGTCCCGGGGGTCCCGGTGCGGCGCTGGCCATGGGGCTCGGGGCGGCAGCCGGGGCCGTGCTGGTGGCACTGGTGGCGCTGGGAGCCGCCCCGGCTGCGGGCGCGGAGCTCTCGGGTGAGCGGGGAGGGGGCGGAGCGGTGGGGAGGCTGGGGAAGGGGGAAATGGGGAGGGGGCACCCCAAACCCGAGCCCGAGGGGCTGGGGATCGGGGGAGTGGTGTTAAAATGGGTGGGAAAGGGGAAAATTCGGGAGCCCCGAAGTGATTTCGGGGCGCGGCCGGAGGCGGGAGGGGAGAGGATGCGGAAGGGGAACTGGGGGAAGGGCGGCAAAGAGGAAGCGGCAGCGCGGGCAGGAGGGTCCCAGGGCGGCCGTGGGGCACAGGGGGTGCGGGGTGGGGGTGCGGGGTGGGCCCCGGGGGGCTGGGGGTGCTGGGGGTGCTGGGGGCACCCCCTGAGATGGGTCCTGCACCCACAGGGGTGTTCCAGTTCATGTTTATCTCCGAGTGTCACTTCACGAACGGCACGGAGAAGGTGAGGTTGGTGGACAGGTACATCTACAACCGGCTGCAGTTCGTGATGTTCGACAGCGACGTGGGGGAGCACGTGGGGTTCACCCCCCTTGGGGAGAAGTGGGCCAGGGACTGGAACAGCGACCCGGAATTGATGGAGGAGAGACGAGGTGGAGTGGACACGTACTGCCGGCACAACTACCAGGTTGACGCCCCGTTCAGCGTGGAGCGCCGAGGTGAGCGCGGGGCAGAGCGTGTCCCCTCGGGCCCGGCCCTGCCAACGGCCCCGGAGCCCCTCGAAACCTCCCTGGGAATCGGCCCGGAGCCCTCAGCCCTGCCTGGGCCCATCCCCGGGGGCTCCCTGTGCCCTCCCAGTCCCTCCCAGTCCCTCCCAGTCCATTCCCAATCCATCCCCAGTCCATTCCCAATCCCTCCCAGTACATCCCAAAGCCATCCCAGTCCCTCCCAGTCCCTCCCAATCCATTCCCAGTCCCTCCCAGTCCATCCCCAGTCCCTCCCAGTCCCTCCCAATCCATCCCCAGTCCCTCCCAGTCCATTCCAGTCTATTCCCAGTCCCTCCCTTATCCCTCCCAATCCCTCCCAGACCCTCCCAATCCCTCCCACTTCATCCCAATCCATTCCCAGTCCCTCCCAGTCCATTCCAGTCCCTCCCAGTCCCTCCCAGTCCATCCCAGTCCATTCCCAGTCCCTTCCACTCCATTCCCAATCCATGCCCGGTGCATCCCAATACATTCCCAGTCTATTCACAGCCAATCCCAGTCTATTCACAGTTCCTCATCATCCAGCCCAGTCCATTCCCAGTCCCACACAATTCCAATCCCAGTCCCTGCAAATCCATTCCCAGTCCCTCCCAGTACATCCCCACTCCATTCCCAGTCCCTCCCAGTCCCTCCCACTCCCTCCCATTCCATTCCCAGTCCCTCCCAGTACATCCCCACTTCATTCCCAGTCCCTCCCAGTCCCTCCCACTCCCTCCCAGTCCCTCCCACTCCCTCCCAGTCCCTCCCAGTCCATCTCCAGTCCATTCCCAGTCCCTCCCAGTCCATTCCCAGTCCCTCCCGGTCCCCCCCCAGTCCCTCCCGGTCCCCCCCAGTCCCTCACAGTCCCTCCCAGTCCCTCGCAGTCCATCCCAGTCCCTCCCAGTCCCTCCCAGTCCATCCCAGTCCCTCCCAGTCCCTCCCA